GTTCGAACAGAACATGGGAACACATGCTGTATCATAGTATTGGTTTTATTGCAATGGTCTCTGAGGGCCTCCTGTAATCAAAGAGCGACACATAATCCTTTAGAGTGAGTGGGTTTAAACCCCCACCACAAAACACAACTAAGCCACTCTGGTGGAGTTGGTTTGGACTCACAACTACCCTACAGGACAAAAAAGGACCGCCCTGTGGGGTATCTGAGATTGCTGCTCCACAGGAGAAAGATGAGGCTTTCTGCTCCTATAAAGATTTATAGCCTTGGAAACCCTGTACAGGGTTGTTCTGAGTAGGAACCGACTCCATGGCACATAACAACAACAAACCTTTTATAGATGCAGACAGCCAGGTCTTTCTCCTGTGAAACTGTAGTAGGCTCAATGTACAGTCCTGGGCGCGAGCAGTCCAGTACTAAACCTCAGGCACCCACAAGGGCCTCTGCTGGAGCCTGGTGAGAACTGAGCAGGTGATGTCCCTGTGTTCACTGGGCTGCAGGACCAGTCCCTCCCCCCGCCCCCCAAGGGGCTCAGCAAGGCTGTGATTATGTGGGAACCGCAGGCCCACAGACTCAGCCTCGAGGGGGCACTCACAGAAGGAGGTTCTGAACACCTCCTCCCTCCACACTCGGCTGTGTTTGGGGGAATCTGGCCTCAAAAGCCCTTTGTGGGAGAAAATGAGAAAATTCTACCCAGCCTTCTGGTCTCATTGTGGAAATCTTCAGGATTCCTCACCACGTTGCAATTAAGCAGAGAAAAATCTTGCCTTGGGGTGTGATTTTAATTACTCATCGAGTTAGGACTTGACTCCATGCTGCCTTTCTCTCCATTTCCACAGCCAGGCCTGAGCGGGTGACAGTTCCTCCGGAGCTGCCGGAGGGAGACCGAGCTGACCTTCTGCTCCCGCCAGCCGCTCACGGGGCCCCTTTCTCTCTTCTCTCCAGCCCCAGTGTTACGACCCCGTGGAGCCTGTGGACTTGGAAGAGCTTCTGATGTCCCACCTGAACAGCCTGGACACGGAGCTGATCCAGGAGCTGGGGGGCTTCACCGAGGATGACCTAGATGTGAGGTTTACCCCGAAGGAATGCCGGACCCTGCAGCCGTCTCTGCCAGAGGAAGGGTGAGTGGACAGTGTGGAGGATGGCTGGGTTATCATCAGGGAGGGGAGTTGTTGTGGTCGTGCAGAATGGGATGACACACTGCCTGGTCCCCAGGATCGGTTGGGATTGGACCATTGGGATCCACAGGGTTTTTATTGGCTGATTTTTGCAAGCAGATCACCAGGCCTTTCTTCCTGGTCTATCTTAGTGGGAAAGCTTTGCTAAAACCTGCTCACTATCAGAGCAACAACCCGTCTCCACTGACAGATGAGTCAGGGTGCATATGAGATGCAGTGGGCAGGAACGAGACCTGGGTCTCCCTCATGGAAGGGGAGCGTTCTTCCAGCGCTGCTTCCAAAAGTCAGCAGTTGTTGTTGTTAGCTGTTGTCATGTTGATTCGGACTCAAGAATTGCTCCAGAAGGTTTTCAACAGGCTGCGACCTCAGGAGCACATCGCCAGGCCTGTCTGCAGAGGCCTCTCTGGGTGGATTTGAACCACCAACCTGGGTTCAAACAAAATTACTCAGACCCAGTGCGATATGCAGATGTGTTCCAGTCCTCCAGGGAAGGGTGGTTTTGTGAAATCGGTTTGACCAGCCAGAAGCTTTCGAAAGCCGTGTGGGGCACTAAAACCAGAAAAATCAAATCCACTGTCGTCAAGTCGATTCCAACTCATGGAGACACTCAGGACAGAACGGAACTGTCCCCAGAGTTTCTGAGACTAAATCTTTACTGATGCAAATGACGCAGAAAGCTGCATCTCGAGGAGGGTTTGAACCGCCGACCTCGCAGTTACCAGGTCAATGCTTCACCCACAGCATCCGTGAGGACCGAGGCAGCTGAAGGACACCGAGTCCGGAATGCAGTTTGAGAGCAGCCTCCGTTTGTGATGCTATCTAGATGTTTAATAGTGAGCACTGAAATGGCAGAGCCCTGAAGCATTTTGCTGTTGTTGCTAAGGGCCAACGAGTTGGTTCTGATGCATAGTGACCCTGTGTAGGGTTTCCGAGGCTATAGATCTTTGTGAGAGCAGAAAGCCTCATCTTTCTCCACGGAGCGGCTGGTGGGCTCAAACTGCCGACCTTGTGGTTCGCAGTCCAGTGTTTATGCTACAGAGCCACCAGGCTTCCAGAAATGTTTTTGTTTCCAAATAAGACATCCTCCAGCTGTAAACGGAAGTTCGGTACACACTTGTTGAGCGCCCACTACATGCTGGACATGCTGGACACTCGTTAAAAAAACGAAGAAGGCAAAGTCCTATCAGTTGAGGAAAAACGGCGAGGAGACAGCACTGTGGTCTGAAAAACAACAGGAAGAAATCTTTAGGGTTAGTTCATAGATGTGGGCATCAGCTGTAGCCAATTCCCAAGGAAGGACATTCTGTCTAAATATAACTTCTGTTCCCCTAAATATTCACAGCCCCAGAAACCCTGTACAGGGCCGCTATGGGGTGAGTTAAGTCAGTGGCTGTGGGTTTGTTTGTGAGTTGGTTTTTAAGCAGCCCTGGTAGGTTTATGTCTTGGGCTGCTAACCTCAAAGTTAGCTGTTCAAACCCACCAACTGCTCGCTGTGTGGGAGAGAGATGAGACTGTCTGCTCCCATCATGATTGACAGGCTCAGAATTAGTAAGCGGCAGCAGTTCTACTCTGTCCTGAAGTGTCTGACGTAAGTCCTAGTTGACTTAGTGGTAGTAGGTTTGAGCTATGTAAATAGATGGATGGAGTAGGTTTGGGGTCTCGCTCTCCTTAATGTGTCTATGTATAGAGAGAACACCTTGGAGCATAGGTTAATGGCAGTAGGTTTGAGATGATCAGGAGAGACTAGTTCCTGGAGGAGGACATCATGTTTGGTAAAGTTGAAGGTCAACAAAAAGAGAAAGACCCTCAATGAAATGGATTGGCACAGTGGCAGCAGCAATGGGTTCAGATGTAGTAATGACCGTGAGGTTGCTGGACAACTGGGCAGTGAATAGGGTCACTGTGAGTTAGGAACAAGTCAGCGGCATCTAACAACAACAATAGATTGGAGGGATATATAAATATGGAGTCCTGGTGTGGTGCTGTACGTAGGATTAATACTGGACTGCTAACATCAAGGCCGGCAGTTCGAACCCACCAGCCACTCCTCAGAAACCCTATACAGGGTCAAGATGAGTCGGAATTGACTCACTGGCACATATAGCAGCAACATAGTGACTAAAGCACTAGACCACAAAGTCAGTGTGAACCGCAAGGCCAGCAGTTCAAACTTACCAGCCGCTCTTTGGAAACCCTATATAACGCCACCACCACCATAATATATATTATATTGTAATATGCCTTCAAATCGGTTCCAACTCATGCAAACCCTATACAGTGTGACTATGAGTCAGAACCAACTCAAGGGTCTGTAACAACAAGTGTTGTTAAGTGCCGTCAAGTCAGTTCTGACTCCTGGTACAGAAACATCAGTCAATAGAACCGAACTGAAAACCCAGAAATAAATCTGTCCACGTATGGACAATTGGACGCCTAGTGTGGTTCTGTAGGATAAGCACTGAGCAGCTAACCTCAAGGCTGGCAGTTCAAACCCACTGACAGCTACCTGGGAACCCTATACAAGGTTGTTTTGAGTCGTAACAGACTCAACGGCACTTATGAACAACAGTGGACCAGCCGATCATCAACAAACGAGTGTAATCCATGAAATGGGGAAGACACGGGCTCTTTAACAGACGGTGCTGGCAACACTGGGTAGCTATCCGCAGAACACGGACAGGCCCCGTATCTCACACCAAATACAAACCTGAACTCAAGATGCAGCGAAGACCGAAATGCAAAACCTAAACTATAACAATCATGGAAGAAATAGATGCAAACCTGTTGTTATTAAGTGTCATCGAGTCAGTTCCAACTCATAGTGACCCTGTATAGGGTTTCCAAGGAGTAGCTGGTGAGCTTGAACTGTCAACCAGGAAGTTCAAACCAACCTTGCGGTCCAGTGCATTAACCCACAGCGCCATACTAGGACTCCCAGGGGCACACCTAGGAGCCTCATTTATGTAATACAAAGACTAGCAAACATGTTGTTGTTGTTAGGTGCCATTGAGTTGGTACTGACTCATAGCGACCTTATGCACAGCAGAATGAAATACTGCCCGATCCTGGGCCAACCTCACTATTGTTGCCACACTTGAGCCCATTGATTTTACCACTTTGCCAATCCATCTTGCTGGGGATCTTTTTCATCTCTGACCCTCCACCTTACCAAACATGATATCCTTCTCCAGCGACTGGTCCCTCCTGACAATATGTCCAAAGTATGAGAGACGAAGTTTGGCCATCTTGGCCTCCAAGGAGCACTCTGGCTGCACTTCTTCCAACACAGATCTATTGGTTCTTTTGGCAGCCCATGGCACTTTCAATATTCTCCTCTAACACCATAACTCAAAGGCATCAATTCTTCTACAGTCTTCCTTATTTACTTTCCAACTTTCACATGCATATGAGGTTATTGAAAATACCATGGCTTGGGTCAGGCACACCTTAATCCTCAAGCTGACTTCTTTGCTTGGAGCGACTGGTGAATTTGAACCACTGACTTTGTGGTTAAAACCGACCTTGTTGTCCACTGTTTATCCTACAGTACACACACATACATACGTACATACATACATACATACATACATACATATCCATATATATGTATGTGCGTATGTGTGTGTATGTATTTATGCATGCATGCATGCATGTATATATGTATGTGTGTATATGTGTGTATGTATGTATGTGTATGTATGTGTGTGTGTGTGTATGTGTGTATGTATGTATGTATGTATGTGTATAGATAGAGATAAAGTACCTTGGTGACTATAGTACATTAAGTTCTTGGACAGCTAACTGCAAGATCAGCTGTTCAAATCCATCGGCTGCTCCTCAGAATAAAACATGAGGCTGTCTGATCCTATAAAGATTTACTGTCTCAGAAACCCCCAAAGAAGCAGTTCTCCTCTGTCCCCTCTGGTCTGTATGGCTCAGAGTTTGACAAGACAGCACTGGGTTTTGAACTTTTATTTGCATTCAAATTATAAGCAAAATGATTCACATCTTTTTGGGCAGTTTCATTCTTCTGTATTTCCCCCAAAAAAGTCCCCAAAAGGAGATCATGAAGCACAGCTGCTCCTGCCCTTTATTACTGTGAAACCATTACCCACGGTTTGGATTTCTCTCTTCACAAAGTAGGGAGAGGCATGACGGGCACTCCGCATCTGTCCGTCCGTCCATCCGTAGGGACTTCTATTCACTTTCTGTCTGACACCTGTCAAGCAGAGCTCCTGCCACACGACAAAGGGGCTGGTCAGGTGTAGCATTTTGAAAATACTCACTTCCCCAAACACAACGACAACACACAACATTGTCATCTTGGGAAACGTTTTCCCCTGTGGCTGGTTCATTTACTCAGGTATGACGTTACCCTGGGTAGATAGCATTTTATTATTTTTACCCATGAGAGAGAATCGTTTGCATTTTATTTTTGTGTAAAAATATATGGTTAATAAAATGAGGGGGCTTATAAAATCATGAAGTGACTGACTTACAAGTTTTCAAGGGGAAGTTTAGTTTTGGAGTGTGTGGGGGAAGGTAAAGTCCCCACTGAATAGTTTTCATCTTGTCTAGATGGGTCTGGTGAAAGGAGATGGGGATAAGATTCTTATGATTCAACAGTGAGTAGTTGTTATCATGACTAATTGTGACTGTAAAGGTAGAATTTTTGTAAAAAAATGGGGGAGTAGTTAATCTTACAATCCAGAAACAGAGGACCCTAGGGCCATTAAGGGAGAAGAACACAAGTGGAATGCGGGACCTTATCCAGAGAAGCAGCGACACCAAAGATGGAGGCAGAGATGGGGACATGGAGAGAGGGAGCAGCTGAGGACTCTAGATTCATGGAAAGAGAGAGACTGTGTGCTGGTGGCCAGGCGGCAGGCCTGCAGAATGTGCCCTTGGGTTGTTTAAATGACTATGTATTTCTGAATGTTTTTGTGTACATCCCCATCTAAGGAAGAAAAAAAATCCAGAGGGAATAGAAGCAAATACTGTTGAATGGTGATACACAGATGAGATTGTAATCATTGCAATGAAATGATGGTGTAAAGCCGATGTTCTCCCATGTAAACTATCACTCAGTTCACAATCAAAACTTAAATATATATATGTGTGTGTGTGTGTGTGTGTGTGTGTATACATGGCTAATTGTCTTAATTGTCTTCAGAGGAGGTCAGAATCTTGGTGAAAGTCTTTTTTTAAAATACCTGCAATCAATTTAGATGCAGAAGGATGTTTTTTGAAATTCGAAAGTGGAAGCAATTTTTTTTCTTTAGCATCAGTTTTTTTTTCCTTTTTTGAGTGTATTATCCTATCAACAGATTTACAGCTAGCGCATTCTCTTTCTGACAGCTTTCAAGCAACCTCTACTGAATTAATATCCTCCAAAGGCTGGTTGTCTAATTAAATTCATTATTGGAGTAAACAGAAGGCGGCTCAGGATAAGTACCTGCACCAGCATGAGCATTTTTTGTTGAGCTGCTATAGCGCAATTGTTATGAGCGTGGACTCCGGAGCCCAACAACCAGGGTTCAAGTCCTTGCTCTGCCACAGACATCACCTTGTACCCAACTGAGAATCATTTGAATTCATACATAGGAGTGGTTAGGTCAGCATAGTAAATGGTATGTAAGTCTGAACTGCCATTGATGTGATCCTGAGTCAGAGTGGAACCATGCCCCACAGGGTTCTCATTAGCTGAGTTTTGGAAGTAGACGGCAGGACTTTCTTTTGAGGTACCTCTGGGTAGCCTCAAATCTCTGCAGCCTTTGCTTTACTGCTAAGAGTGTTCACTGTTTACTGCATGCAGGGGTTCAGAACTGCCACGTGCTTACTAGGCCAGGCACTCCTCTAAGCTCTGATTGATTTAATCCTCATCACAACACTGTAAGCAAGGAAGTCTACTCTTTAATATCACTGATTTAAGATGGTGAAACTGAGGCACAGAGAAGTCATGTGACTCATGGCAGGCCGCAGAGCTAGTGAGTGGGGGAGCCAGGCTTTGGGCAGACAGGACCCAGAGTCACCTAGTTACCTTCTGTTGTTGTTGTTGTTAGGTGCCATTGAGTCGGTTCTGACTCTTAGTGACCCCGTGCACAACAGAACGGAACCCCGCCCGGTCCTGTGCCCCCCTCACAATTGTTATTTTTGAGTGCATTGCTTCAGTCACGGTGCCAATCCATGTCTTTGAGGGTCTTCCTCTTTTTCTCTGACCTTCCACCCTACTGAGTACAATGTCCTTCTCCAGGGGCCTGGTCCCTCCTGCTCACATGTCTGTAGAATGAGTGACCGATCTCACCGTCCTGGTTTCTAAGGAACGTGTTCTGGCCTTACTTCTTCCAAGTATGACGTCTTGTCACCTGGCGTCCTCAGTTTCACAAGGGGCGGTACCGTTCTTACCCCCACTTTACAGACGAGAAAATAACAACTTGCAGCATTTAGACCAACACAACTAAGGAGCTCTGGTGGCATAGTGGCTACGAATCGGGCTGCAAACTGCAAGGTCAGCAGTTCGAAACCACCAGCTACTCCGCAGGAGAAAGATGAGGCTTTCTGCTCCTGTAAAGATTTACAGCCTCGGAAGGGTCGGAACCGACTCGACGGCACTTAACAACAACAACCAACACAACTACAAATAATAGCATAACTGTGTGCTGTTGAGTCGGTTCTGGTTTACAGCGGCCATAGAGGACGGAGTAGAATTGCCCCCCAGGATTTCTGAGGTCGTTTTTCTGTGGGAGCAGGTGTCCGTTCTTGCTCCTGTGGAGTCGCAGAGACGTTCAATGTGCGATGGAGTACTTAACCCCTGCACCACCAGGGATTCTGTAAAAAGCTTTGCTACAGGGGGAAGTGAGTTATTTCTGTTTTCCAGACTCAGAAGCCGGGAAAGCACTCCTGAACAACTGTGGCCCCCCTGTACCTGAAGATTCAACCAGCCTCAGGTAGAAAAGATTCAGGGGGAAAAGAAAGCAATTAAGTGGTCAGAGCAGCCCTTCAAAGGCTCAGAGGCACTGGAAAATGGTATTCCCATTGTGTTCTATAGTCTAGATTTTCTAGAGAGAATTATTTTCTAGAGCTAACATGCCACTTTGATGACTAAGATGTGCCTGACCCAAGGCATTGTATTTGCAATCGTCTCACATGCGTGTGAAAGTTGGACAATGAATGAGGAAGGTCGGAGAAGAACCGTTGCATTTGAGTTATGGTGTTGGCCAAGAATATCGAATCTACCATGGACTGCCAAAAAACGAACAAATCCGTCTTGGAAGAACAGCCAGAATGCTCCTTAGAAGGTGGGATGGTGAGACTTTATCTCTCATACCTCGGACATGTTGTCAAGAGGGACCAACCAGTCCTTGGAGAAGGACGTCATGCTTATGGAGGGTCAGCGAAAAAGAAGTCCCTTCATGATGTGGTCTGACACAGTGGCTGGAACAATGGGACCAAACGTGCCAACAAGTGTGAGGTTGGTGCAGGACTGGACAGGGCTTCATCCTGTTGGACCTGGGCTTGCTATGAGTCACAGCCGACTCGATGGCGCCTAACCGCAACAACAGATGAGATGGTTTGATGTATCCAAGAGCGTGTGCCTAGGCTATGTGCAAATACTACACCATTTCCTGTAAGATACTCAGGCATCCATGGATTTGGAGCTCAGAGGGGACCCTAGAACCCATCCTCTTGGCTACCCAGGAACAATGACAGCCCCTGATTTAATAATCATGAACCCAAGCCAGTGCTTGCCAATTTCTCTTCCTGACTTCAATAAAGCAGAATGTACGTGCCCTAACCAGGCTGCCCAGGAGCAAAACATATTTCCAAATACTCCTGTGAGAATGTGTCTTTATACAGATTTCTTTGTCTCGGGTCTGATTACAACGAGTTCTACCTGTCTGTCAGAATGCCTTCGGGGACAGGTAGAGTTTAGCACAATCCTCTATAATAAAGAAAACCCACAAAGCCTAAAATGCTAGCATGCTTGTCTCATCAAAGTGAAGTTTGTTGTTGCCTCAGGAAGACTTGAGGCACTCAGAGGAGATAAACAAGAACACCCTTCAGAGCCAGTCACGCTTGACATGGGTTGGGAATGGTGTTGTTCTCCTCGGTCATGATTAGCTTGTGTTTGCGTTTCTGAGTCCCTGGGTTTTGCACATGGTTAATGTCCTTGACTGCTCACCTAATGAAGTCCACCTATAGGCTCCATTGGAAGAAACGTCTGGCGATATGCTTCTGAAAAACAGCCCTTGTAAACCCTATGGAGCAGGGCTGTACTCTGACACACATGGGCCACCATGAGTTGAAATTGACTCTTTGTTGTTGTTGTTGTTTGCACAGTGATTACATGGTTTGGGGGGGTTCTGGTGTGGTGCTGTAGGATAAGCACTGCACTGCTAACCACAAGGTTGGTGGTTCAAACCCGCCAAGTCACTCTTCGGAAACTCTATAATAGGGTCACTGGGAGTCAGAACCGACTCCACAGCACGTAAGAGCAACCACAACAACATGGTTTTCTCTCATTTTTGTCTCATTAGGGTTGAACTGGATCCTCACGTCCGAGACTGTGTTCAGACTTATATTCGGGAATGGCTCATCGTGAACCGGAAGTAAGTCACACATTACCCTAGAGCCTTTGTGTTTGTCTTCGTTCTGATGAGTCCCTACAAAATCAGTGGACTGAAACTTGGCCTGCAATTCAAAGTAACATTTACATTTGTCACCAAGAAATAAACTACCCGATACCCTTCTAGTCCAAAGGGGCTTTCTCTCCTAGGTTCACGGAATGTTCTAGAACATTGTTCTCAGCAGTTTTCTGCTACTGATCTAAACAGTCTTTCCTTATGAGAAACATCTAGAAGCCCTGAAATTCTCCACCTGTGTATGAGCTGGAGGCTGGTGGAGCATGTCTAGAGAGTGCCTGGCGTACCCCAGGAAACCTTTGACAAGACATAGGTCATTTGAAGAAACCCCACCCTTTAGAAATCTAGAAGCCTTGTCGCTGCTGCAAACTAGTAAGAATTGCTGTTCTGTGGGGTAAATATGTTAATAGAAAAGACTCTTCGGGGCTTGGATTTTATCCAGTCCCTGGAAGTATGCTGTTGAATTTGTGCTATTTTTCCCCCCTTATTTCTTGAGTGATGTTGGTATGTATATTATTTTCAATCACCAAGAAAGAGAAAGCATGGCTTGTAAAAAGTAATACATAAAACAAGCGGAAGTTAGCGGCCCATCCATCATCTGTTCGAATGCAAATGGAAAATGAAGTTGGCCTCTAGATGATCACACCACACTGTGCTTCACTGGGGATAAATAAAGACTTCCAGGACAAGGTGTTCTCCAGCTTTGCACTGTTATAATTAGAGCTGCTTTCTGAATGTTAAGGTTCTTAAAAAAAAAACAATTCTGGGAAGGAATAGTAAATAGAAAGGTCTGTTTTGCTGCATTCGGTTTTCAGATTGATTTTCTAGTTGGGTCTCTGCACTTTTCCATTCCTCATGAAAGACTGGACTGCTAACTGCCAGGTTATTGGATCAAATCCACCAGCCACTCTGTGGGAAACAGATGAGGCCGTCTGCTCCGGTAAAGATGTACGGCCTCGGAAACCCTGAGAGGTTGTTCTACTGGGTCCTTCAGGGTTGCAGTGGGTCCAAATTGATGGCAGTGGGTCACCATGAAAGAGGAGTCCTGGTGCGGTGCTGTGGGCTAATGCTCTGGACCACAAGGTCAGCAGTTCAAGCTCCACGGCACTTAACAACAACAACCATGAAAGAGAGAGAGAAGGAAGGAAGGAAGGGAAAGAAGGAAGAAAGCTTTTTTTTTTTAGTGTAGAAATTTCAGAGAACGAAACAAAACTCAGTCCATTCCCTTAAATAGACAACCCATGCATGCATATCGGTGCATAGGCTTTGAGCTGAGTCTCTTCGCATATAGGATTTGTCTGAAAATGAGATCCAATCACAGCGCGTTTTCCAGCCTTCACCTTTCCAGTGGCTCTGTTTGCCGTCAGCACACCCTCCCTCGATGGAACTCCATTGGTTGAACAACTGCGTTTGTATCACGATGTACTTGACCAGGTTTCACATTTCGGTGGTTCCCTGCTATCCAGTCTTTCTGCTTTACATCCAAAGACTGCAACAGCTTTTAACAAAAAAGGGGGCAAGGTGCACACCTGGGATTTTTCCCATTTGGAATAAGTTCCTATAAGATAAATTTCTCTGTCTAGAGGTATGCACGATCAGAAAGATGATTCACAAAATCTGCACAAATCCTCAAGAATCTCAGTAAAATTTCCAATTCTATCCATAGAAGAAACGGTCACTTTCTTGGTCGGTTTACATTGTCTTGGATTATGAGACTAGAACTAGTTATTTGTAATTTTTCCTGGAGACTCGGTTCATGAAATGTGTGTAGTTGCATTACTGTGTTTGTCTCATCTTGTTTACTTTGGGTGGTGGGTGGATGGTGTTCCGTGGAGTTGATTCTGACTCATAGCAACCCCGTAAAGGGTTTCTGAGGCTGTAAATCTTCATGGGAGCAGAAAGCCTCATCTTTCTCCTGCGGAGCAGCAGGTAGATTCGAACTGTTGACCTTGTGGTTTGGCAGCCCGGCTCATGACTTACTCCACCTCCAGCACTGTCTTGTTAAGGGCATTATCTCTTTGTCTATTATACATTACACATGCTTTGTTTTTCATCCTTTAAAATGATAATTTTCTAATATTCAGAATTACTTACACAAGCAAACCTATACTGATACAGAAATTGCTCAGGCATTCTACTTCTGATGTCACGCTTAAAACTTCATTCACGAACTCAGCGTTACCAGAGGGCTTCAGAAAGTTCCTGGGACATTGGAATGAAAAGATCATTGGCATGAACGTTTTTAAGTCCTCTTGTATTTTCTAGGAATTTGGGGTTAAATGATTAATCCAAACAATTGTCACTTAATTATGTTTCTTGTTCCCTTCTTTGTTGTTGTTTTTGTTAAAGTGCCGTAGTCGAGTCGGTTCCGACTCATAGCAACCCAATACAGGGTTTCTGAGGAGCAACTTGGGTTTGAACTGCTCATCTTGTGGTTCACGGTGCAGTGATGCTACAGCCCCACACTAGGAGTCCTGCACTCCCTTTATACTCCTCCAATTGTTTTATCTCTTTGGTAGAAACAGTTGTTGGTGGTGGTGGTGGTTGTTATTATGTGCCGTCGAGTAGGTTCAGACTCATAGCAACCCTGTAGAGGGATTCTGAGGAGTGGGTTTGAACCACCAACATTGTGGTTAGCAGTCCAGTATTTATCCTACAGTGCCACACCAGGACCCCAATTATCCATGTAGTCATTCTCTGGACATTTTTGTTTCTTTTTTTTTTCTCCTATAAAACAAAACTATATCTGTTTTCATTTTGTTTGGCAACATGCTGACATGTGATGGGTCAGCATCCTGCCATGCCCCCAACCCCCCCCCTTCCCCCCACCTCCCCACTGCAGGAAACCAATTCACAGACAGACAGAACTCTCCAAACTGAAACCAGACTCATGGCCAGCAAGTCAATTCCAACTCATAGCCAGCCTGTATAGGGTTTCTTGCCCTCACAAATACAAAGGGGCTTCAAAAAGGTCATGGAAAAATTCCATTCTCTTTTCATTCCATTTTCCGTAAACTTTTTGAAGCCCTCTTGTTCCTCGGAACACCTCCACCAGCTGTTCCTCGGAAACCCTATACAGGGTCGCTGTGAGTCAGAACTGACTTGCTGGCAGTTGACAACAACAAACATCATGTATGTGAATATTTGTAAGAGCGAAAACCACAAAACTCTCAGAAGAAATCAAATCCACTGCCATCGACTCATTCCCAATCCTCAGCAACGTATAGGGTAGAGCAGAACTGTGCCTTCAGCTTTCTGAGACTGTAAATCTTTATGGAAACAGCCTCATCCTGCTCACTTGGAGCAGCCGGTGGATTTGAACCACCGGCCTTGTGGTTAGCAGCTCAGTGTTTTACCCACGCTGCTACCAGAGTTCCTCTCAGAAGAAAACACAGGGTAAATCTTTAGGACCTTGGAGTTGCGATGGATTCTTAGATATAACACCAGAATGCAAGTGATAAATGAAATGATAGGGAAGTTGAACTTCATCAAAATGAAAATCTTGGTGCATCCAAGGATGTGTTCAAGAAAGCCAAAAGGCAACCCGCAGAATGGGAGGAAGTATTTGGTAATCACATATCAGAAATGGGTTTAATATCCAGAATCTATAAAGAACTCATACAACTCAACAATAAAAAGATAAACAACTCAATAGAAAAAAAAGAAAAAATGGACAAGGGATTTGAATAGCTGTTTCTCCAAAATATATACAAATGCTCAACAACAACTACAAAAAAAAGAAAAAGAAAGAAACGTGTATTGTTGTTGTTGTTGTCATTCAGAGCTATCGAGGCAGTTCCAACTTTTAACGGCCCAGTGTAGGGTGTCCAAGGAGTGACTGGTGAGTTTGAACTGCAGAACCTGTGGTTTGAACTGTTCTTGTAGTCCAGTGCTTATCCTACAACCACACCAGGAAAGGACCAACAATCTTGTGAAAAACACTCAGTGTCATTATTAATGGCGATGCTGATGCTGCTGGTGGTCACTCGTGGCAGCCCTGTAGAGGGTTTCCAAAGCTGTACATTTTTACAAAAGCCTCATCTTTCTCCCATGGAGCGGCTGATGGATTTGAACTGTTGTCTTTGTGGTTGGCAACCCAACAGGTAACCCACAATGCAACCAGGGCATGTTTCATTAGTAAGTGTTGTTGTTGTCAGGTGCCATCGAGTCGGAACTGACTCATAATGACCCCATGCACAGCAGAACGAAACAATGTCCGATCCTGGGCCAACCTCACTACCGCTGCCACACTTGAGTCCATCATTGCCTCCACCTGACCAATCCATCTCTTTGGGGGTCTTCCTCTTTTTCTCCGACCTCCATCTACCAAGCATGATATCCTTCTCCAGCGACTCTTCCCTCCTGACAATATGTCCAAAGTATGAGAGACAAAGCTTAGCCATCTTGGCCTCCAAGGAGCACTCTGGCTGCGCTTCTTCCAA